AATTTGAATATTTTAACTTTTTAGCATTTTAAAGTAAATTAGTTACCAGTCGTGAAGTGAACTTTCGCAGAGGTGAACAACTTGTGTTTCGCGCGCTCATATGACCTTAGCAGTTGCGAGCGCCGTAAAACCTTATACTACTACTACTACTCTCTCCAGTTTTACAGTCGTGTGTGTATACTAACATTACAGGGGATTGTTTTTTAAATAGCTATATTGTCTTTACATTTTTATTTACTTATTTTCGTTTTGTTTTGTTTTTCGTTTCAGTATGATTTTTTTGGCATTTGCAACACAAATAGATTTTAATGTCTGAGATTAAAGATGATACTAGAGATCAACATTCAAAGAAATGAAGAAGTGATAAAAAGATGAATATCTGATAGGAAAGAAGGAGCAAATCTCACCAGAGCACTTGCCTACCACCCACATGTTTTCACACTCCCATCGACACAGTTTAAATCATAGACGAGCCGCGAGCCTGCCTGTCAGAGACGACCCGGATTTAGATGGGTATGCTAAATCGTCAAAGAAAAAAGACCCGAAATATTCGAGAAAAACAATTCCCCACACAGGAATCTACCTTGGGTCTTCTGCGTGCAATGGGGAAGCTCCTAACCGCTGCACTACATCGGTCTGAACGTCCCTGGCACAATGATCTTCAATTCTATTTTAGATGGAATGACCCTTGATGGTGACCAGCTCACACAGTCTATTGTGGACACATCCTGGACCTTGTCATTACATCTAAGAACAAACCAGCAGTTAATCTGACTGTCACTAACAAAGCTATTTCTGACCAACATCTATTTGTCTTTTGCCCGGCTGTCCAAAGACAACAAAGACCTCAACGAGTTTTGTGGTTAAGACATAAAAAAGAACTAAAATGCTATCATGTCTTTTTGCCGAGGAATAAGACAGTTTGCTATTGGATATGACAGCTGTTTCTTTTATGTGTAGGAGATTTTACGCCCGCATCGATGCAATTTAGATGATATTAGGAGATGAGCTTTGATTCAGGACTTCAGATTCAAAATTGACAATCAAAAACGAAGTTTGCTTAAATTTAAAATATGACTTCAAATCAGGTTCCACGCCAGCTACTTTGCTTATTTTGATACGCTGATTCCGAAAATGAAATCAATTTTTAGCGGCGATAACTATTTTTAAAATTCTGCTTGCAAAGTTTTGATTTTCGGAATCAGCGTATCAAAATAAGCAAAGTGCAGTCCTGTATCAAGGTCCCCCGCTGCGTTGTGCATCTGACGCCCCAGCTGCTAGACCTAGGCCTACACGCTGCACACTTCCCGTGGCCCGGTGAGAAAAAAACCTCGTCGCGTCGGCTCCCTCTCAGAGCCGGTATTAACCGTTGGTGTCGGCTCCTTCCGAGAGCCGGTACTGGAGGCCTGGTGCCTGTACTGACACCTCCTTCGGTATAACCGGGAGTTCCGGTTCTGGGTACCGTTACCTGCCCATCCCTACTATACATACTGTTTGAGCGACACACAGCAAAAGATTTCAATAAAATTGTAATTTAGATTTTAACAAGTGATCATCAAGTCCATCTCATTCTTTTTTTTTCTAAATTTTACTCACCCATATTTATGGTATTACCGTGTAAAAGGCCTATTTGCATTATTTGGAGATTATCTGGTTCATTAAAGGAGAACAATCACAAAAATACCCACGAGTACATATTAGCGGAAGGCAAGTAACATGAAAAAGAAATCAACATCAAAAGACTTCACAGAATATCTTAAATTCGAGATAGAAAAGTGTTGCTATGCACCGACTAGCCTTTTATTCCTCTCCGGAATGGCGGCCCGGCGCTTTTCCCTTTCGTCAACCCGCAGCCACCTCCCGAATCGTCAGCCACCCCCAACCTTTGACACGGGTCAAACTTCCATCTATTTATAGGTAGTTACCGGAACATGTATAGGTGAAGTGATGTGCCGTGATAGTCGCGATATATTATTTATTGAGACTGTTTTGGTCTCTCTGTACTCATCACCACGATAATTTCTTGAAGTTTTTCCCTGGACTCTGCCTTTACTAAAATCTCGAATCTAGATCTAGATCTAGAGTTGTAATCTAGTGGCAAGTTGCAGATTTCTGTTGTTATCCAGTACATTCAAGAGATTAAATAAATTGGTCTAGACTCTAGATCTAGTAGTAGACTCTTCTACTTCTAAACCTTCGAGATTACAAAGGCCAAGCCTAGGCTTGTAAGGATTCGTTTTGTTAAAAGTGTTGTTTAACACAAAGTCTATGAAGTTAGCAAATCTAACACATTGTTTTCTAACGAAATGAAGCTTAAATTGACTTTTATATTGTCAATAAGAGATCAAGTTTAATCACCTAATCATTAAAGTAAGGAAGTGGCTATCCTCACCCGGGGTGAGAATAAAAACCCTACGATTGACCTCTCACCCCGGGTGAGACTTGCCAGCGTTAGCTATTCTCACCCAGTGTGAAACAAGACCTGTTTTTCCTCATTTCGAAATGCTTTCTATCGGTGTGGATGATCAAATTGACAAAAGCAAAGAAAAAAAATGACGTTATAGCACAAACGTAAGCTAATTTGATCGTCTACAAAGATGCTATGGCCCTTGCACTTTTCGAATCGACCGAACTACGCGGGTCGCCATTTTGTTTTGCCCGAAAGTTCTCGCAAGATCTACTCCTCCCCCTTCTCTCTCTCTCTCTCTCTCTCTCTCTCTCTCTCTCTCTCTCTCTCTCTCTCTCTCTCTCAGTCGGCAATTTATTAAATCTGCAACCTGCAATTAGATTGCAACTAGATCTAGATTCGAGACTTTAGTGAAGGCAGAGTCCAGGGAAAAACATCAATTAAATTCGTGTGGTGCAGATGAGTAAAGAGAGACCAAAACAATCTCTCTATTGCGACTATCATTGCACATCACTTTGCTTAATACATGTTCCGGTAGATTTAACTACCTATAAATAGATGGAAGTTTGACCCGTGTCAAAGGTTGGGGAGGGGGCTCTCGTGGCCTAGAGGTTAAGGTGTTGGCCTCTCATTCAAAGGTCCCGGGTTCGATTCCGGGTAGCGACCAAAAAATTTTCTTCTCTAAAATTGTCTCCTTTCACATCCTTTCCTGATCTCTAACAATGTTCTGTTGTCTGCTTTCATTTCCACTTTCTGCCCCCACCCCCTCACCTCCTTTGCCCCCTCCTCTGGGCTCCTGACTCTTTCTGCAGCCTTTCTACTGCTACTCCTTGGCTCCTCCTAACTGCTGTCTTTCTGCCACACCCCTGATCTTCTGGTAGGAAAGATCTACACCTAGCCTTCTCGGACAAGGGCGAAAAATCTCGGAGGGCCCGTGTGCAAGTTGCGCACGTTAAAGATCCCTTGGTGGTCAAAAATCGATAAGAGTAGGCTTCGGCCGCCACCCGGGCAAAATTCAAAAATTTCCTACCAACGAAAAAGTATTAGGTGTGTCCCGCGCGCTCATATGACCTTATGCAGTTGCGAGCGCCGTAAAACCCTATACTAAACAAACAAACAAAAGGTTGGGGGTGGTTGACGATTCGGGAGGTGGCTGCGGGTTGACGAAAGGGAAAAGCGCGGCGGCGCGCCCTCACGTTTGACACTCATGACGTCACAGCTAAAACCTCTAGTTCTATTTATAACCTCTTTGGCAGCCTCCATTCTATTGGTTGTTTCCCTTGGTAAAAGTGGTTAAAATCTATAATGAAAAGATTCGAAATGCTACAAACTAAAGTTTAGGTCGAGATCAGTCGTTTCAATAAAATAACTGGCTTTTAATTAAAAACTTACATTTTGTGATATCTGTAAACATTTTTATATCAATTCTCAATCTTATCTGTAAAGAGCACTCTAGTTCTAAAAGATTATGTACTAGATTTAATAAATTTGATTATCCCCTTTTCCCTTCATGTTTTAATCGATCTGATAGATAAATGCCAATTTGGACAAGATTTATTGAAGTGCTTCAAAACAAAGAAGATGTAAAAACAACTAAAAATACAGATTCAGAGCTAATATCTGTTTATAAACTTTAACTTTTTGCAAAACAAATGTAATGGCTTTTTCAGTGTACAAGTAAATTCAAAAGTCTCTCTTCTTTTTTAAAATTCATCTCATCAAATCCTGTTATTTATGTAATGGTTTGCTGCGAACTGAATTGAATGCAGTACCTGGGTAGTTTGTTTGTGATGGTGGATTGATACTGATGGAAACAGTTCGCTATCGCTGAAGGCTTCCATCGCTGAATCGATTAATTTTAGCCATGAATCATGCTTTGAAAGAAGGATATTTATTAGTTCAGGTGAGAATATGAATCAGGGTATTTTTGTAGGCTAAGTCATTAAGTTTAAAATATCTGAGTACGATAGAAGTTTATTGTAACTTTTACTTGACAACTAAGACTAAGACTAAGACTAAGACGTCTTAGTCTTAGAGAGGACAGACGGTGCAGTGTGAGGAGTAGGGTAGATATTATAGATCTAGCTAAGATTCTCTAGACGTCTCTATATCTAAATCTAGAGTAGAGATCTACTTCCCTACTTCAGTACTAGAATACTCGATCTACCTGTACTAGATTCTTGATGGAAGTGGCTATTCTCATCCGGGGTGAGAATAGAAAAACGGGCGATTGTTAAGATTCCCGCGTTTAATTCCGATGTGCGTTTTTCATACCCTCAGGCATATTTCGCTTTGTTCCCTAACCCTAGGTTAGGGTTAGGGTTGGGGTTAGAGTTTGGGTTTGGGTTAGGGTTAGGGCCAGGGTTAGGGACCAAAGCGAAATATGCCTGCCTGAGGGTATGAAAAACGCACATCGGAATTAAACGCGGGAATCTTAACAATCGCCGAAAAACGATCTACCTCTCACCCTGGGTGAGACTTGCGACCGTAGGCTATTCTCACCCGGTTTGAAACAAGACCTGTTTTTCCTTATTTCGGAATACTTTCTATCGATGTGGATGATCAAATTGATAAAAGCCAAGAAAAAATTACGTTTGCACAAAAGTAAGCTAATTTGATCGCCTTCAAAGATGCTATGGCTATTTCACTGTTCGAATCGAGCCGAACTACGCGGGTCGCCATTTTGTTTTGCCCGGAAGTTCTCGCAAGATCTACTCCTCCCCTCTCTCTCTGTCTCCTTCTGAATACTGCCTATCGGTGTGGACGATCAAATTGACCTAAACAAAGTTAAAAAATGATGTTAAAACACAAAAGTAAATTAATTTGGTTGTCTACAAAGATGCTACGCCTATTTAACTTTTCGAATCGAGCCGAACTACGCGGGTCGCCATTTTGTTTTGACCGGAAGTTCTCGCGCTACTCCTCTCTCCTCTCTCTCTCTCTCTCTCCACTGCCCACAGACAAAATTGTACGCTTTTAGTAGGCTACAGTTGTAATGGAACGTTTGTTCACGGCACAGAATTCTACAATTTTTCTGTTATCACAGTGTAGAATTCTGTGGTTTAGGGTGAATGCAAAATGTGTTGGCCTAGATCTAGGCTATAACGGTGAACGCGCACCGGGTGAGAATAGCCAAAAGACTCGCCTGCACTATTCTCACCCAGGGTGAGAATAGAGGTGGCCATTCTTCATCTAGATTTTAGAATCAAGAGAGAAGACTCTTATAATTTGAGGCAGCGGTGAGGCAATTGAGGGGAGAACTTCCCTGTTCAGATGGCAGCTCTTTTCGGACTCGAGTTCGGTTAGATTTTTTATCTGTTCGGACTCGAGTCCAAATATAGATTCCGAATCTAGATCTAGATCTAGATTTAATTTGGACTCGGGTCCCAAAAAATGTTTTATTCATCAGAATCATTGGCCTTGGCCGGCACTATTTCTCCGAACGTTCGGGAAAATAAAAGCTGGGCACTATTTCTCCGAACGTTCGGGAATATAAAAGCTGGGCACTATTTCTCCGAAGACTCTGAAATCACATCCTTTCCCCTCAAATTTCAGATATATATAGATCTATAATTATATTATAGGCCTACCAAAGATTGTTCGTTTGCAATATGGTTCAGTCGGTCCAAAAAATGTCCGCTTTAAATATTTATGTGTAAAGAAATGCTACAGTTCCAAACAGTTTTTCGCCACAGATATAATGACGTGTTGCCTATGAAGGGTGCTGCTCTTAAACTTAATGTGTTGTGTTCATTCGTGGGCTATCTAGATCTCTAGATCTACGCAGGGTTAAATTGATAACGACACATAGAACTAGCACAGAGATGCCAACCAGTACAATTTTACGTATTTTAGTACGATTTTTTGCCGAAAATATATGCGAATACGACTTTTCATGAAAAGATACGCATTCTAGAATGCGAAAAATACGAGATTCAGCTTGGGCGAGTAAACCTAATTATCCAAGTCCCATCTTTTGTCAAAATAGATCTAGTACCAGTGTCGCAGAACTGGAATATTTGAAAACCAAGTCCGATAAGGTCAGTAAGTTCATTTTTGCAGGTCGCGATCGTGATATTATATTCGCTCAGCTTTTCCCGATCCGGAGAGTACGTTCCACTTTCACGCGAATAGGCAGCTATGGCGGCAGGCGGAAGCGTATGTGACACCGAGACTCGATCGGGAAAATCAAGATCTACTTTCGCTTTCGTTAGGCCTACCACCGAGTAGTTTGCCAGCAGTTGTCTGATAACGCAACGTTTGTGACATGCAGGTTGTGCAGTATAAACGCAATGTCGCCGTGCAAATAAAATTGAATGAATGCTCGGACTCGCCTCTGTGCTCTCACTTGTGGGAAAAAAGAAAAGAAAATACAAGCGTCGTCTGATTCTTAGATTGTCTGGCTCGCCATCGTGACCGGTCACTGAACCTGCACGCATACGCATCATAAATAAATGCGCCATCGTGTGAGCGAAGACTGTCTTTGGTGGGAGTAACGGCCTTGCGAAGTATAGGACTACGGAATAGGGGAGGAGATTATTGATTTTTTGGGGTAAAAGATACTATGGGGGAGGGTGTGAAGGCAACACCAGAGGACCAGGGGCGGTCTGTTAACTGGGCAAGGTGCCGGTCAAAGTTTGGTCAGTGGGATTGAGAGATTTATTGCTGATGATGATTTTCATTCAGTTTTAAGTAAATCCGAATAAACATGTATCAATATTCAAAAAGCACCTTGCCGATTTGAAGGCGTGCAAATAGACAAGTGAGATTCACTGCTGTTTTGTCGCGACAGAGCCTCATTCCGTCACCTTTGTTTATCGCACCGGCTCGTAACTTTAAATCGTCTCTCGTCAAGCCGACACGTCGCGGAACTTCGTACGAGGACAAACGAACACGACGGGTGGACAAATCCATCGACTGCCCTGAGACTACAAAGAGCGAATATAAACATCCCTAGATTGCCAAGTTGGCCTCCGTGTTGCTTACAAAATCGGTAATGAGACTGTCTTGAGTCTTGAGCAGCACAGACACATGAAATATTTCATCAGCAATACATGTACTCTTATCATTCAGCCTTTCTCTAACTATCATCAAAACATTTATTGTTAGCATGGCACTAATCTTTTTTGTTTATAAATTGAATTTTTAGCCACCTTTGATTCCTGTTTGGTGACTATTCATCGCTTTCTCCCCACTAAAATAACGTTCCTGGCCCATATGAGTCTAGCCGGCGAAAAGAGGAATCGTCTAGTGAAGATGTATAAGGAGAATTATAACGAGGAGCGATAGGCTCTCGGCTGTCAGTCTGGACCGAAAACAAAGGGCCTACCCCCCTCCCTTCTCTCCCCTTATCCACCGTCACCTCAGCTAGACACCAAGTTCTTTAATTAGCATTTAACACACTTCCCCACTTTGTTAGAACAGTGTTCTTAAAACTGAGAAGTGTGATGAACGTTTGATTACATAATGATGGAAAACTGTTGTGTGCTAACTTTGTCCAGCTTTTTATAGTATCTGATCATAGACTTAATCTGCATGGGACAGCGTAATTGGTACAGTATCAATTGACTTTTTGCCATCATACAGTACTGTTCTTATTAAACATATTTACAGGTCGAGTGCACGTCGATATTGTGTGTGGGTTAAAACCACGAGCCGCCACTGCAGAGGACAAAAACTTGGAAGCACATTTCAGAATTTTGATTAGAGCTTTCTGCAAAGCGCGCGTTCGTGCAGGCCGTGTGCGGAATCGGGAAATTTCATACTTTGCAAGTCTGTGTTATTGAAATAATGTGTTCACGTTTTATTGGATGGGTGATAGTAAATTATACCTACAGTGTATGTTGTAGCTTTCTGTTCAAGACTGGTAGATTTTCAGTGTGTCACTGCATCTTTCCCTACCACAGTTGTTACAACTCTCACAGTGCATGGGTCTACTTGAGCCATTCAAGTTATCGCTTTTCTCTGAGTTTGAGCAATAATTTGAGTCTGTCAGTTCATAATATGAATCATGACACCCAGTAAGGTTGTTGATAGTCGAAATTTTTGTTCTAGGCCCTTCCGAACTCTTAAAGCAGGATTTATTTTTTACATAATAATGAGAGGAAAATGTTACCGGTATATAATAATAGACTGAAATACTTAAGTCAAACAAGACCCCAGTACGACACTGAACACTGACATGTTGACTGGATACATGTATATTGTACGAGTGTGTGCTTCTTTTTTCGTGCTCGTGAGCTAGTAATTTTTTTTCAGGAAATATTGCTGGACACCCTGAACATTTTACTTTTACTAGTTGGTCGGTTGGTCGGTCGTGGGGAATACACATTTTTCCCTGAAAATACACATTTTCATATGTGTCCCAATACTCATTTCGGTTTTCTGTGGTTGGCATCTCTGCTAGCATCTGCGTGTGTCGAGGCCGCGACCAATGTAAGGAGGTACATTATGTTATGATCTAACTGTCGTCAGGGGATTTTATGTATAACCAGAATTAGAACTAACCTACTAGGACTGTAATTATAGACTTTTTTCCGGCCTATTCTGCTTTATCGACATGCCCCACCCCCTCACCTCCTTTGCCCCCTCCTCTGGGCTCCTGACTCTTTCTGCAGCCTTTCTACTGTTACTCCTTGGCTCCTCCTTACTGCTGTCTTTCTGCCACACCCCTGATCTTCTGGTAGGAAAGATCTACACCTAGCCTTTTTGGACAAGGG